CCTTTTCCCTCTTCCACTCCACCCCTCCCTCTTCCTCCCTCCCTCCCTGCTTTCTTCTCTCCCTCCCTCCTTTCGCATTTAGCCAGTCTACCTTCCAGACTCTTAGAACGAGTTTTATCCTGCTTACTTTTCGGAACCCAGTGAAGTCCCTCTCTGTATACCCTGAGCTATTTACACCGTGGCCCCTTCCCCGCCGGTGCCAAGCCCACTTCGGGCGCTCACATTCTTTAGGACAGTTCGAGCTCCTTCGACTAAACCATTATCCCGCCTGTTAAAGAAGGAAGAGGAGGCCGAACAGAAACAAACCCCACCAGGCGGAGGCGCGGCTGTTCGTTACAGTCAATACACAACCACAAAGAGGAAAGGAAAGCCCCAATCATCATTCCGCAGAAAGACGAATCTCCTCTCTCCCTCTCATCTCTCTCTCTCTCTCTCTCTCTCTCTCTCTCTCTCTCACACACACACACACACACGCACACGCACACGCACACGCACACGCACACACACCCCAAAATCAGGATTCGGGGCTGGGCAGAGCTGGGAGGCTCCAGGCGCGGGCGCCGGGCGCTGCTTGCGAAACGCAACCGGGCAGCGGCGGGGCGCGCGCGGTCTCCGCGGAGCCGCAGTCTGGGTCGAGGGGCTGGGCCGGCGGCGTCGGGAGGAGCCCGTTCCTAGCGTCCGCAAGGCGGCTCCCCGCCCGGCTTTCAGGAGTCGTCCCAGAGCCGGCGGGATGGCGTGTCCCCCGCGGGGTGGGGATCCTCTTCGCGTCCCATCGCGACCGCTTCGTCCGACCGAGCGCTTCCCGCGCCGATCGCCCGAGACTTGGCTTCTCGTCCTCCCTCCCCTCTCCGACTTCCCCTCCTTCCGACCTCCGACTACTGCCCGCTCGCCAGCTTCTACCTTCCCCGTCCCTTACTCCTCTGCCCCTTTCTCTTCGCCTTCCGCCAAGTTTTTCTTTCCCGCTTCCCTCCCTCGACGTCTCCTCGGAATCTTCGCTTCCCCTCTTCCCCTCACGCCTAATTCGGGGACTCCCAGGCTGGTGAGCTCGGAGCGAAGTTCCGCGGTCCTGGGCCGCCGTCCCCTCTCCGCCCGGCAGCCCGGCCCAAGCGCAGCCCCGCCGCCCCGCCGCTCCGTCGGCGCCCGAGACCCGAACGCACGGCCGGGGCGCCCCGCCCGCGGGGAGGAAGGCTCCCGCCTGGCTTCGGGCAGCATCTCCACCCGAGTCTCCCTGGCCTCAGCGGTAAAGAACGGTGCGCACTCAACCCGGGCAGAAATTTTCGTTAAAAATGCCATGGGGTGGTTTGGACGCCCCGACTCTCAAAGAAGCAAAACACGAGAAAAAAAGAAAATTAAAAAATTGTCTGCTACGGCTCCTTGGCTTGTGCTGTCTCTGCATCCATCTATCCATCTGTCCGTCTATCCGTCGACCTCCCTCCTTCTATATTTTCGTCCTCTACTGGGATCCGTTGGTTATCGTTTTCAAAAATGTTATTGAAAATAAAAATTAAAAGCTCGAATCTGTTACGAAGTAGTCTTGAAAACCTAATTCTCTCCCACAATCAAAACGTGGAGAGCCTCTGCCTTTATCAGTCTCTATTTTCTCTGCCCACATTCACTAGCACCACTGTTCCCCATCAGATCCTAAAGGGGGGGGGGCGACGAAGAAAGAAAAATAAAATAACAAAAAAGAGAAATCCCCTAAGTTAAAGCAGTCAGATTTCCACCTTAAAGTCCTTTTTCAGAATAGCCAAGTTTCCCCAAGCCAGCTTTTCCAAAAGTTGGAGAAAGCTGAGAAAACCGACCGGAAACCTACGAGCAAATAGCTTAAAAATATAGATGAGTTGGGGGTGTCAAGAAGCTCGAATTCTCTATCTGCAAAGCTCTAAGATGCAACCGGGGGTGTCGGCTCACCTCATAGATATCTTCGTACTTGACATTCTCCACGAGCTTCCAGAGCATGATGGCAGCCGGGTCTCTAGGAGGTGAGTGCATTCATGTGAGGAGCAGATGTCTGGCTTCTCAGGACTCCGCTGTCTGTAATGATCCATCTATAATTGGAAATGGGGGATACACACCAAATCCGACGCTCCTCTCCCATCGCAACTTATATCTGTTGTCTCAAACAATAGGCTGGAGAAGTAAGCCTCAGCTGAGAGAAAAACATTATTACACACACAGGAGTTAGATGCAACCCACTGACATATATATTATAAAAATCATAAACACGTATTTATACCCAGACACTCACATTTAGTTATATAAGCACCCCTGGGTCACACAGAGCCTACAGACTCTAAACATGCATTTAAAGGAGAGAGAGTCGGTCAGTGTGATTAATATAAATATAGACATTTAAAAACCTCTATATTGAAAATGATGAATCATTGTAGCCACTGACTAAAGCCTTTACAGCTCATAAGGAGAAACCAGGGTGCCAACAGTCCCCCATTTTCTATGTAGATTTTTAAAGGGGACCATTAC